CTGAAAAACTAATAAACTTATTTCTATGCCAATACCAAGCAGCTGAGTGGCACAACAGTTAAGCACTCAATTACTAGTCTAAGAGTTTGTGGTTGGACCCATCCAGAGGTCCCTCAGAAAACAGGCCTGATGATCTGCTTCCATAAGGTTACAAATAAAACCAAACCCAACCCACTGCCATCGAGTTGATTCTGACTCCTAGTGACCTCTAGTGGGTTTCTGAGATGGTAAATCTTTAGGGAAGTAGATTGCCCCATCTTGTTTCCGTGGAATCGCTGATGGGTTTGAACCATCAATCTTCTGGTTATCAGTCAGATGCTTTAGGCACTGTGCTATAGAGAGCCTTCTATAAGCTTACAGCCTTGAAAAATCTATGGAGCAATTCTGCACTGTACACATAAGATCACCATGAATCAGAATTAACTTGACAGCAATTAACAACAACAAGCCAATACTAGAGAGGTAATTGCCCTCAAATGAAATGCTATATACATTGTATTGTTCAGAAACTGTATTGTTTCTGAACATCATTTGGGTATTTGAGAAAGGCATTAAGGTTACTTGAAGTTTTGAGTATTTAAGAAGGATATTAGGAATATTTATCACTTTCGTTCTTTTATCTTTTCTTATCCCTTGAGGTATTCCATATTTTAATTACACTCTAAACATGGGGAAATTCCTTTGTAGATCAGATTTGAACCACTCCACTTTAGCAACTCCTTAGGAATTACTTTGTTTTCAATTTATGAGTAAAAGAAAAAGGGTTAAGTGTCAAGAACAAAGTTTTACTAATTGTATTTTTGCATTGTGTGTTTAATCACTATGTGCATTTTCCCCCAAATAGGTGCAGATTTCATAACAATTTTGGAGAGTGATGCTTCTAAGCCCTATATGGGAAACAATGATTTAACCATGTGGCTAGGGGAGAAGTTGGGTTTCTATACTGATTTTGGCCCAAGCACAAGGGATCACACTTGGGGGTGAGTATACCTTAGGAATTATCTTGAACATAGCCCTGAAAAACAAGGTAGCACAGTAATGGAGTGAGAATTTGAGGTTGTCTTGACCTTGTTCCATGAATATGCCCCACTGATGCTTTTGGGAGACTAGGAGGAGAATAGGTATTGAGGAAGACTTCACACAAGTCTGATAGCCCAGCATACCTCTCCATTGGTGATCCTGGACACAATTCTTAGAATTAGTGTGGCTCATTTAGGACCTTTTCCTCTGTAACCCAATAAAGTTAGTTCAAAGTGTTTAGAATATCACTGAGTTTAGGGACCAAAGAAGTGGTTCTCAGCAGTGATGGTCATACAGTCATTGGGAGTTCTGAAAAATTACAGATGCTTGAACCACATAAGGAGCTTTGGTGTCACAGTGGTTAAAGCATTTGGCTGCTATCCGAAAGGTTAGTGGCTTGAACCCATCAGCTGCTCCACAGCTCACTTGCTTGTGCCAAGAAATTTGGAAGACAGCTAGCTACCTGGCCAACTAACTGGAAGAGATCCATATATGTGCCCATTCCAAAGAAAAGTAATCCAACAGAAAGTGGAAATTATCAAACAATGTCATTAATATCAAACCCATGTAAAATTTTGCTGAAAATAATTTGAAAACAGAGGTAGCAGTACATCATCACAAACCTGCCAGAAATTCAAGCTGGATTCAGAAGAGGGCATGAAACAAGGGATATCATTGCTGATGTCAGATGGATTTGGCTGAAAGTCAAGGATCCCAGGAAGATGTTTACTTGTGTCTTACCAATTATGCAGAGGCATTTGACTGTGTGGATCATAACAAATTATGGATAACATTTGCAAAGAATGGGAAGTCCAGAATACTTAATTGTGCCCATGCGGAATCTGTACACAGACCAAGAGACAGTTGTTCAAACAGAACAAGGGGATATTGCTTTGTTTAAAATCAGGAAAGGTGTGCATCAGGATTGTATCCTTTCACCATACTTATTCAGTCTGTATGCTTAGCAAATAATCTGAGAAGCTGGACCTGGACAATATGAAGAAGAACATGACATCAGGATTAGAGGAAGACTCAGCAACAACCTGCGATGTGCACTTTGACACAACCTTGCATGCTGAAAGTAAAAAACACTTGAAGCACTTATTGATGAAAATCAAAGACTCTAGCCTTCAGTATGGATTACACCTCAACATAAAGAAAACAAAAATCCTCACAATCGGATCAATAAGGGAAATCATGATAAATGGAGAAAAGATTGAAGTTGTCAAGGATTTTGTTTTACTTGGATCCACAACAATTCCCATGGAAACAGCAGTCAAGAAATCAAATGATGTATTACATTGGACAGATTCACTTCAAAAGACCATTTAAAGTGTTTAAGAGCACAGATGTCACTTTGAAGAATAAAGTGCACTTGACCTAATCATGGTATTTTTAGTAGCCTCCTAGCATGTTAGAGCTGTATGATGTTAGTGAGGGTATAGAGAGACTGGAACCCTCATGCACTGCTGGTGGGACTGTAGAACAGTGCAATCACTGTGGAAAATGGTGTGGTGCTTCAAAATGAAGACATGAAAATAGGAATGCCATATGATCTGGCATTCCTACCACTAGATACATAGCCTAGAGATACAGGAGCCATGACATGAACAGATTTATGCACACCCATGTTCATCACAGCATTATTCACAATCGCAAAAAGATGAAAACAACCTAAGTGCTCATCAAGAGATGAATGGATAAGCAAACTATGGTACATACACACAATGGAATACTATGTAAGGTTAAAGAATAATTATGAATGTGTGAAACACCTCATAACATGCATGAACCTTCATGACATTATGTTGAGTGAAATCAGTCAACAACAAAAGGACAAAGATTGCATGAAACCACTACCGTAAAAACTCAAGAAAAGTTTACACAAGAAAGAACCATTCTTTGACAGTTAGTAGGGTGGGAGGGTAAATCGCTAACTTGAAGGTAGACACATATTAACTTGGGTGAAGGGAAAGGCAATATATAGTATGGGGGAGTTCAGCACAAAATGATCAAAGCAAAGAAGGACACTGTGAGGAGCACAAAAGTTAAAGGGAACAATTTTGTTGTTGTTATGTACCATCGAGTCAGACCTCACTCATAGTGACCCCTCCTTCCAAGGCAGTATCACTACGGAAGTAGATTGCCCCATCTTTCTTCTGAGGAGTGGCTGGTGGGTTTGAACCACCATCCTTCTGGTTAGCAGTCAAGTGCCGTAGGCACTACGCTACCAGAGCTCCCAAAGGGAACAAAGGTAAATGTTATTGTATACTTAATTCTGTAATAACAGTAACAATAATCTATAAGTGGATACATAGAAAGACATACACAAGGTGAATAAGGATGGTAGAATGAATGAGATTACACCCATGAATACATATCTAAGTTTGACAGAAGATATTTATACATATACATTTACATATGCTGCAGATATACCCATGAATATAGTAGAGCACACAGGGAGCAAAGTTATGAAAAGCTCT